ATTTTGAGTGCCTGTAGTCTCCACGCTATCAACTTCTTTCTTCGGTTCTGTCAGTGAGAGAAGATACTCCTTAGCTAATATCCCCACCTAGGATCCAAAGGAGACAAAGAATAAGTTATTAAATGTAACAGAAAGCAGCCAAAAACAAGTGCTAAAGCACTCTAAACTTACCCTCCACCTGGTGAAGTCACTGACTGAATTGGGCCCAAATTTAACTTGATAAGAAGCAGTGCTGACAAACTTGCTCTCCAAGGCATCTATTTTCTCTGCTGTGATGGGATCAGGGAGGCAGAAGCTATTCTCCCAAAGAGCAGCAATCTAAAATAAACAGCAATAGTTAGGACAGCGATTCCAGGCTACGTGATGAAACGATGACGCATTGCCACATCTGGGCCAGAAGTATTTTTTTCCAAAACAACAGCTGCTAAAAATCATTTTTTGGTGAATGTTATGACTTTGTACAGTATCAAATGCAGGAACATTAACACCAACACCATGAAGTAGAGCAAAATAAGCTATTAGTTCCATACCCTGGTCCTCAGATTATCACTGTAGACATAACGCAAGTGGTTGGCATAAGTACTGACATCTTTACCGTTGTAAATCCTCAGATTGGGCAGCAACACCATCAGCTTGTAAGTGTCACTCACCTGATAACCAAAAGAAACGTTAACAATTAAGTCAGTGTGGCGGCATTTTATGATGAAGGGACCTAAAAAAGCAGTCTCTCTGTGAACACTTTCAAACATACTGTACATTTGATGTGACTGTGCAAATGTGGAGGACACTGGAGATCACAGCAAAAAAGGAAAAGAGTTTAATTCCTACATTATTTGAAGTTCAGTGAATGATTTATACTTCAGAATTATTATGTAATTACTCATTCTGATCACTGAGCTGACAAAGATCATATATATTTGTTGTGTGCCAGCTATTCGATCTTGTTTATGAGTGGCAGCCAATCAGAAGCAAAGGATGAAAATGAGCGGAAACCATTTCTAAAAGAATTTCTCTGCTAATAATACAGTTTTCATTGGGGCACTGGGATAATAAGAATGCAGGGATGTGTTTTGCTTTATCATATGCATCACCTAGAAAAACAACCAGATCCTACAGAGGAGCAAGGATTTCCTTATTTCCATTTATCGTCTGCAGGATAGTGGGGGCTGAAACTGTGTCTCTTTCACAGTGGGGGGAAAAGGCTGGACAACAGTCTATCTTAGAGTTGACACAAAAAAGAGCCATTCACACCTACAGGACTTCATTTCACATCATCAGCATGTGTTTGCATTGCAGGAGGAAACCCTTAAGACAGAATACACAAACTCAGCAGACAAAGGCCTGAGCTGGCTGAGGGAGTCAAATACATGAATATTTTATTGTCATGACAACTGATGCAGGGTGCTCCCTTGCAATGCTAACACTAATAATCAGCTGATATGATCATTCAGCAATGTGGCCTGACTCAAATATTTCTCCATGAGCCAAGCCAGACAGCAGTAGGTGTAGCTGTATGTGATTTTATGAAATACTGATGACAAGTGTCAGTTATAACCTGTTCATGTATTTGCCATTTGTGCTGTAGCTGCAAAGAGTGACACTAAAACAGGAGTGTAAGGAGAAAACAAAGCTATGTGCTCACAGTGATGTAGAGGTTGCCATCCATCCTCAGCTCTTCTACGTTGCTTAGCGAGTCCAGAGTGGTAACGTCCTCGATCTGGTTGTCGCTCAGGTCCAGGAAACGAAGAGCAGGAAGCTCCAGGTTCTTGGGAAACTCCTGCAGCATGTTTCCAGAAAGATCCAACTTCTCCAGAGACTGGAGACGGGACAGCAGCTTGACAGGTAGATCCTGAAGCTTCAACCTCATCTTAGACAGGCTGAAACACAAAGAGCACCAAAGTTAGTGTTTCCATGGGGTATGAAATAAAATTACATGAGACACCGTTTAGTGATTATAGTATTACATCTATAATCATTTATTTAAATCTTATTGCATACACACAAATATCACAAAAGTATAAAAATATTTCCATTAATTCAATGTTTTATTCCAGTTTTTAAATAGCCAACTGGAAAATGTCTTTGACTATTAGGGCCTTAGCTGTTTATGTGCACTCAGCATTGGTATAAATGTCATGGTCATTTAGGGCTTCATAATTTCCAGGGTGGAATGAATGGATACATTTTAATTACTTTAAAAAAAAACAAGAATCATCATAAAAATACCATGACAATCATGTCCATGATGAGTGGATGTAAACCTGTCACCACAACTGTAAGTAAGCATTACCAGTTTACTTCAGTGCAACTTTAACAGCAAGACAGCAAGACACCTACAGGGCATAAGAAGAAGAATAAGAATAAGAAGTCCTTACTTCAAAGTCATGATTTGCTCCAGTTTGTTGGCTTTTGGAGAGGCTTTCTCCAGTAAAAGTTTCTCAGTGATTTTTTCCATCGCTTATCTGCAGGAAGAAGCACAATTCAGGAGTGAAGATGGCAAACTGAAGCTAGGGCTGAGATAAGTGTCCTCCTAGTTTGTTTATATTGTCAATCCTGTTCTAATCACACAACCAGAGCACCGCCCACATGGCCAAAACAAACTGACTACATCAAGGACTGAAACTCCGTAAAAGCTCTTTAAGAATATAATTAGATACAAACAATAGGGTAAGGTCTGTAACTGCTTTAGAAGGCCTGATTAGTAATCAACACCACTGATCAGCCTCGAGAACAATGAAAATTCCTGTGGATGAGAAACGCTGTAGTACAGACAAAGACTTAGAAAAGTAGATTTGTGTTTAATATTATTACACAGATATTGTTTACAACTGAGCTTGTTCAACTTGTTTTAGCTGATCTAATTACTCTTTTTTTGGCATTTTTTCCATTTAGCAATTAAAATCCCCTCTAGCTCCTCAGCATGATGAATCTGTTAAAGAAATGGAAGATTTCCTCCAAAAACAGTTTACAATAAATTAGCGGCTATTCAACAATAACAGGCTAAATGCGATTTCATAACGCGCTATCCTTTAAGTAACGTTATCATAAGGTCTATATAGAGATCCATACATACTAAGGTGAGGAAGGATATTTCACTTAAAGAAGATGAGAAAGTGTTATATGAGAATAAGTTTGAGTTTCTTCTAGCTAACCACGTTGCAGTGCCGACAGCCGTATATATCTCTATATATTTAAATTTCTTGGCAACAAACACAAATAACAATTATTGACTTAATTAGAGCAAGCGTTGGTGGTTTTGATTTTATTATTAAACAACTTAAAACTTGCCAATATCTGTGATTAATATCACTTACCAAATACACTTGAGCGAACTCAAAACACTCTTGCCGAAACCGAGCTTTCCCGGGGAAATGTTACGTATATCCGGTGGGCGTGGTTTAAACACGAGATCGTTTTTACAGCCTGGGTTTTGCCTGCCAGGCACTAACCTTAACCCTATGACAATTGTACAATAACTTAGTTTTTATTAATATGATTCTTTTTCATTTACGTTAAGCACATTGAGTTTAAGTGTAATTAAAAGTGCTGTATAAATTAAATTGACATTGATTTAAAATTACGTTATTTTAAGTTCTTTGGATCACAAAGAAGTGAAATAGTATTGACATTTCATTCCAAAAAGCCATCATCTGAATATTTTCTGCTTTTGTATAGTTCCAATGTGATAAAACAAAAAAGGTAAAATTCATGTCATTTTTGAATGATTCAGTTGAAGTTGTGCCGTTAATCACCACTCAGAACATTTTCAGGATGTGGTTCAAAAGAAAGGGTCTAGAACTGAAGAGTAGATTATGCTGTCTGTAGCCCCTGAAATGCATTCATTCTGGCACTCCCAGTTTAGAGCAATGAACAATGAAGACTTTAACAGAACGGCAAGGAGGGGCAAGGGGTCTAGTCAGGGTGGCACTGAAGTATATGAAAATCTCCTATATGTTAACGGAATCAACAAAATATCCACAAAAACACTTTAAAATTATTTATTGTACCATTATCTGTTCTAAGAAAACAAAGGCAATAAGAGGCTTTTGGACAAACAAGCAAATAGTTTTTACAAGTATTTTAAGGACATAAAAGTATTTTAAGAAAATTTGTTTTCTTATTTGCATCCTCTTCTAGCTTTGGTTGGATAATTCTCAAACCCTGAAAATACCCGCATTCTCCGCTAGGTGTCGATAAAAAATGTTTTCGTTTGCTGCCTCTTCCTGACACAAGAAGAAGATGCAGGATGATGGCTCCCGGCACCAGTGACGACGTGCCTTCATGCGCTTGTAAAGGTGTCCGCCGGTGTCTCGTTTGCGAAGGGTTGAAAGAGAAAGTACAACCGGAGGCGAGTGAATCAAAGGTACTGTTTTCCAACAGAAAACTTATATATTGTGTTTATAACAGTTAAAAAAATTTAAAAAAATCAAATACTGCTAACAGCAGCGCAGACACAACAAGCTATGGGTGCCCTCTGAGGACATTCCATCCTTATTAAAGGGATATTACTGCGGTTATAAATGTGTGCCAACGGCGTTTGTCATTATAACAAAAAGGTATTCACTACAAACTGTCAATTTCATCGCCAAAATAATAATAATTCTAGGAATACATTTGCGTTACTGTATAAATAACAATATTTTTCTATTTATCTATCTTTCTGTGAAGATTGTCCATCATTTCCTCTACGATCCTCAGTCGAGGCTCGCTGTTGGAAAAGATGCCCAGGCTGCATCCTTCCCCTTTTCTGGGGTCTTTCTGTGGGAGAACTTCATATCAGAAGAGGAAGAGAAGGAGCTCATATGTGCGATGGACCAGGATGTGTGGAAGGAGTCGCAGTCCGGTCGAAGAAAACAGGTTAGCATGTTATCAAATAAAAACAGACAAAACATTTTTGTTTAGACTATGATTTATAGAAGCGATTATCAGGGCTGTAAAGTCAATATAAGTGCCAGTCCGAGTTTACTCAGGTCATCAACAGTGATTCACAGAGAGTTTGAGTCATACTTATCCATGCTGCCTTCAACACTGTTGATTGTTGATCGTGATATTTTAATTCAAAGGCTTCGTGATTCAGTTGGTTTAACTCGTCAGTTTCTTGATTGGGTTTCATCATGACTAAAGGGTAAATGTTTCTATGTGTCAGTTAATATTTTTAGACCTGCAGAAATAAACATTCTGTCAGTGGTTACTTTTTAACCTTATCATCTAATTCACAGGTGTCGAACTCCAGGCTTCGAGGGCCGGTGTCCTGCAGGTTTTAGATGTGTCCTTGATCCAACACAGCTGATTTAAATGGCTAAATTACCTCCTCAACATGTCTTGTAGTTCTCCAGAGGCCTGGTAATGAACTGATCACTTGATTCAGGTGTGTTGACCCAGAGTGAGATCTAAAACCTGCAGGACACCGGCCCCCGAGGCCTGGAGTTCGACACCTCTGAAACCTGTTCACAAATTATGAAGCTACGTTGATGACATTAACTTGTGGATGTCTAGAATCTTTCTAGAAATGAATAGAGACAAGATAGAAAAATCCAAAAAAGTCAGAGACAGAGAAAATTTGTTCATATTTATTATCCCTTTCTCTGAAACACAATGAACAAGTCAGGCACCTTGGCATCATTTTGGACTGTGGTCTCAGTTTTGATAATCATATTAATAAAATAACCAGAATTGCTTTCTGCTACTTAAAAATGTATAGGTTAGAAAATTCTTATCTTAAACTGACTCTGAAATTGGGCCATGCTTTCAGATCAAGCAGGTTAGATTACTGTAACACTCTTATTCTGTGGGTGGGACATGAGATGAATTATTGCCTTGTGTTTTATTGCCTTTAAATGTTGTAGAGCTACATAGCTTTTTTTTTTTTTACCTTTTATGGTAAGCATACCAAGTGTACCCATAATAAAATGTGCTATATAGATAACATTGTTGTCAATTCTATTTGATATATGTAGTATGGAAA